ACATATACTTGTAAGACATAATACCATCAAGTATCTGATAACTCCTACAAGACTTTTATGGACTCACAAAGCTATGTGAACATAGTTTCCTCCAACATCTCTATTGTTCCCTAGGATATAATGCTCAATACCAACAGCTATAGGGGAGACCAATAAAGAAGGAACAGCAGAACAGACATTAGAGAAGGTTTTAAGAGGTAATAACCCTTTCTTCTCAAGGGGCCAGAGGCCAGAAAAACATTGCGGAGGATGGATGGGGACAGTCCCAGGTAGATACAGAGAGAAATTTACCTGAAGCTGCCAGAGAGAAAGTGGGTAGAACATTACTGGAAGCCAAGGTCAGAGTTGGCAAAGAACATCCAAAAGGGAAGGAAGAGACAGGAAGAGAAGAAGAAAAAGTAAGATTTCTGGCTGAGAGTCTTAGAAGCAAGACACAATCAGGTATACGGAACCGGCTGAAGAAAATGGTACAGAACTAGTAGTATCACCTAAGCATATATTTGAGGTACACAGCTACAGATCACAAAGCCAGATGAGATCTGGACAAGTGAGATGTCATGTGCTAGGTTCATATGCATGGGGACAGAGGAGGTCGATCAATACTTGTTGATTAACGAAGAGTCTATAACTTCTTTAAGGAAGTTGTATCAGTCTCAGACATTTCCTAACCGTCCACAATCATGTTACACAAGTGGGCCAGTCATTAGCTAAGGGTTCAGAATGTTATTTGATATTGTCCTTAGAAGGACCATAAATTAAAATTCAGAAAAAGTCCTCATTTAAGCCTGGAATTCACTGTCCCTTAATTAACTCAGTAGAGCCTATGCTTAACATTCACTACCACTGATTTCACACAAGATGTGGCCAGATCCTGGACAAATCACAGAGGTAGGAAATAGCTCACTGACAAGGAAAGAATAAGATCAACGACATTACTGTACATGAGCCATGAAGCCATGTGTTTCCGTTGTCATTTAAGCATCTCTGAAGGCACCCTAAATGATTTACATCAAAATGTGGGAAAATAATATTACAGTATCAGAAAGGCAGGGACTTGTTATACAAACATAATCAATAAGCATATGAATCTACCAGCTGCTATTTCTGAGGGGGGAAAAAGACAAAACACTAATTTGGGAAGTAGGACTCCCATTTATTATAAGCAAAGACCACGATATGAAAACCTCTCTCTAAAATAAATCAATGTTTTTAAAACTTTCAAGACTTCCATGAGAATTCACTCAGGATGCTCATTCTTGGATCTCTCCCTAGAACACTCTAAAACATTCTCTCCAAAAATGTAAAAAGCACTGAACTTTTACTGAGTGCTGCCTGACCTGAGCTTGTTTCTTTTGCAAAGAGAGTCTCACGATGTCTGTGTAAGAAAACTATAAGGATTATTAGTAACTGCTGATATAACATTTCTAGATATGGAAAAAAAGTTTCTTACTATTTTTTTAAGTGTTTATATATTGCCTCAGCATTGGGTACTATCTATCTAGTCATTTTTAAATCATCATTTCTATCCAGTTTCGTACTCACAAGGCCAGGTTCCCTTCAGACCACTTATCTTCATAGTCTTCCATGACCCTAAATGCATTAAACCTAATGGAAAATGTATGCCACAGAGGGACCAGGTGAGAGACTAAGGATGAAAACTCACATTGGGGAAGGGGAATCCATCAAACTCCATGATAGGTAAGAAGTAACAATCACATTTTTAAAATCACTCTTTTAAAGTATTATTAACACTAATATAGTGTTACTAGTTAATACTAATAATTTGCATTACTATTAATTATTACTACTAAACATAATTTCTATACTACCACTTAGAATTAATAACAGTAACAATAATACCAACACATACTTCATACACAGCTCATCTCTTTTAAACATGTCAAATATTTTCTCTCACAAGGTCTTACAGTAGCGACAAGATGTCATTACAACACAATTCCAAGAGATCCATACTGTAGGCAATAGAATTCTAACATAGAGGTTAGGTGACCATCAGAAAAGAGGTGAAAGACAGCCATGAAATTCCTAATCTTAACCTATTTATTTAGCCTTGCTTATTAGTAGTCTAAAACATTTCTTCAACACAATTCCAAGAGATCCATACTGTAGGCAATAGAATTCTAACATAGAGGTTAGGTGACCATCAGAAAAGAGGTGAAAGACAGCCTTGAAATTCCTAATCTTAACCTATTTATTTAGCCTTGCTTATTAGTAGTCTAAAACATTTCTTTAGTATCAACTCCCCCATGAATCATTATCCCCCACTGAACAATTATCCTTCTTTCTCTAAGGTGAGAAAGGAAAAACACACATGAAATATAAACACACCTCATGTAGTCTTGTCAACTAAATGAAATAGAAATTACTCCACCAATAGCAGAAAGTAACTCTAACTCATTTCAATTGATTCTACTCCAGATCCATTCACAATTAGAAAATTTGCTTTTTCAAAATACTCAGTCCTTTCTTTTTGGCTGCTTTATCTTGTAGCTAAAGGCCAGTAAAATAATACAATATAATAACTTCATAAGGCAAAGAGAACACTATCTCCTATTTCTAGGGCACTTCTTTTGTCTTTTTCCAAATACTTAAATAACTTCACTTCTAGGCTCTTATTAATGAACTAAGTCTACCGTTCATCTTAACAGCACAATTACACTGAGTGTTTTTCTCACTTCTTTCAAAACTATCCGAAAAATAATCAACAGAAGTTTAATAAACTGATTTCAATTTACAGCACTGCTTCTTAAACATTTATTGAATAAATAAATGAAACTGGATGGTCACTCTAGTGCTTCCCAACGTGTTCCATTTCATGACACACATGAAAAATAATGTTTATAAGGATACTAGCATAAATAAATGAAACAGCAGGTGGCCAGAGGCTACCAGCCAGAGACTTCGGCAGTCTGAGCTGAGACAATCACCTGGCTGCAGAAAGGATAATATCTCAGCAAACCTTTCACACAGTATTTCAGTGTCCCCTGAAACACAAATTGAGAAGTTCTGCTCTACATTTTTGGCCTATTTAGTGCACTTCCACTTCTGTTACCAGAAAACTATCTTTCCTTTGGGGAGCCATCCCACACTCATTCCATATGAACCTGGTAGCACAAATATTAGGGCCCTGATGCTTCACTCACTCCCATTCCACCCAGGATAGCCAATTAAAGTGCCCCATGATCCTATCATGATGGTTGAGACCCAAGCAAAGCCAATTCAAGCATTCTCTACTTCTCTCTTCTTTTGGGGTTATGAATGTAAGGTTATAAGGCTTTGGGCTTCCAGCCAATTCACAGAGGGAAGAAAGAAACTGTACCTTGAATATACTGTTTAGGCCATAATTGGCCTAAGTACTACAGCTAGTAAAAACTGGTTAAGGCAGCTTAAGATAGGGTTCTGTTATGTGTAATCAAAAATTATCACTCTAGGAGGCCAGAGAAACACAGCTGGGGCAGTGGAAATCTGCACCCCCTCACCCCAAGCCTGAAGACGACAACAGTGGGCCATGGGCCTTGGTCCCACCTCCTGCAACCAGGCCAGCAAAGGAACCAGCCATGGGCCAGACCCATCCTCCCTTCTCCCCTCCCTACCCCCCACAACAACATCTTAAAATGTACTTAGTAAATAAAAGTTTTTTAAAAGTTATCACCCTAGAATTCCAAAAACCAAAAGCATTTCTTGAAAGTGTGTGTGTGTGTATAAACGGATGTAATATATGTTTTACATTAGTGTTTTACACAGATCAAGGTATCACACTGCATGACTTTAAGGGATCCTTCTTTAAATAATCTCCAGGCATTATCTCTGCATTAACTATTCTAAAGAGATTACCCTACAAGGTAACAACACTGAAAGAAAACATTGGTTAGAAGAAGGATCATTACAGAAAGTAGACGGAGAAATAAAGTAGGAAGCAAGCTGAAAAGATTCACATTATCCATACACCGTGAAACAAAGGTACTTTGAGTACTTTACAGATCCATTTGCAGAATCAGAACAGAAGAGGCCTGGTCAGAGTGAAAACTTTTTGTGAAATATCAGCAGTTGTTTACTTGACAAAAAGGAATAAGCATAACAAATTGAGTGTAAAAAGGAATTCCAAATAGATTAACTTTATATCCTAAATAAACACATTTACCCCACCTCTACCACCAAATTTTTTCCTCTAGGAACACATTAAGAAATGAATGTTTTCTTCACCACACTTGAAAAGAAACACAGCACAAATACTTATAAACAGAAGATACTACAAACGCCATACCTACTTGGTTAGGAAACCCTTCCCTTCACAGGAAATGCATTTTTAGAGATTCTATCCAATGGAAAAAGACCACAGATTACTATGCTAAGTATGCTAGTGGTTAGTTTAAAAGGCAGGAAAAAGTCTTATTAAAGTCTGACTGCTTTCTTATTATACTCTAAGTTCTGAGCAGATAGGAAGAAAGATTGTTTACCCTCACATCTCAATATACAGATCAGTACCATACACAGTAAGGACCCTATAGTTTTTAGTTTATTAAATGACTGAATAGCATCAAATAGCATCAAACTGCAAGAAGTTAAAATATATATAAATGCCTATTTTATTGGCACCTTTATCCTGGATTAAGGGTCTACCTTAAAAGATCACTATTCACACCAAGCAATATGCATACTGGTATAGGTAGCAAGAGTAAGTAAGCAAAAGCATTACAAATTAGCAAACTGACCAAAAAATCTTAGAACCAGAATAGTACCATGTATAGATTTCCTTGCAAAGTGTTTTTTCATTAAAGAAATATCTGCATAATTAAATATACATCAACTCAGAGTAAGAAGAACAACTTGGCAAGATAAAGACAGCAAAAAAAGAAAGAAAAAGAATCAACCCATAATTTAAAACTTTGAAGTAAATAATCCACAAAGTAAGATAATCTACAATTCCAATAATTAACCTTTTCTCCAATTACTGCTATTCCATTATTCTCTTGTTTTACCTGAGAGGCATCAGCTTGGGCTAATTCTGTAGTGACCTTCAGTATTTGGTGAAGATGTCGTCCTTCATCTTTGACAAGGAGGTGAGCCAGGAGAAGAAACACATGCACAGGGATCACTGTAGTAACAGGGAGCAATGACTCTACTGAAGCCAACCAGTCACTTGCCGCAGATTCTTCCCTCATTACCTCAAGAATCCTCCAGGTTGTAAATACTGAACCATACATGTTGGTTATAGGGAATTCAAGCCTGTAGGAGAGCTGAAAAATGAACACAAAAAAAGGCATGAATAAATGAGATGAAAATATTTGTCAAAAATATATTTCTGACATTCACTTATTTTTTATATTTCAAGAAATCATCCCTTCCAACAAAATGAATACAAATTTTGAATTCCTGCCAAAAACTTCTCTGCACACATTTGAGGTAATAGAATTACACAAAGAGAAAATAGCTGTTAGATGGAACTCTACAACAGTTTATCACAACTTTTCCTCATATTTACCATTCATCCCCAGTTAAGGCAGAAAAAAACGGATCAATATACAAGATCCAGAGGCAGCAGAGTTTGGAAAAAGTAATTATCACTAAAAAAGCATTCACCAATGAGAAGGAAGAGAGTAAAAACACTGTATTTGTCCAGCTTCAGGCCCTCAGAAGAGGCAGCCAGGGCAGATGGCAGACTTGGACTGCGGACAATTCATTTTTATGATAGACAGTATGCTGATAGGAACAGAGGTGGTTCAGCCAAAGCCTGGGAATTCATTAATAATTGTGAATAATTTCTGCAGGAAGACAGCTCTAAACTGAAACAATACCCAGAAAAGATATTATACTTAAGTCAATCTGCGAAATAGCTCCCCACAGAAATAAAGTAGTGCAGTCAGGGCCAGAGAGTAGATAGAATCCTACCAAGGTGAGCTGTGTGCATAAATGGCTCAGGAAAAGCCACAGACATTAAAGAAGCATTAGACATTGACTGCTAATAAAATAACTCAAACCATGTAGAGTGTGATGAGACAAATTAGAAATCTCCAGATTATAATTGTCCAGTTATTAGGGAATGACATATGGATAAGGATAACAACTGAAAGGATGGGAAGTAAAAGTTAAGCTTTATAAAATTTTTTAATAAATGCTTTATTAAGATATAATCCACTTACCACAGAATGCACACTTTTAATGTTTACAAATCAGTTAATTCTAGTAATTCATAGATTGTACAATGATCATCACTGTCTAATATTAGAACATTTTCATCACCTCAAAAGGAAACTCCACAACCGTGAACAGCCATTTCTCATTCCCCTTACACTCCTGGCAACACTAATCTACTTTCTGTTTCTGTTTTGGTCATTTCGTATAATAGGAACCACACAATATGTAGTCTTTCATGACTAGCTTCTTTCACTTAGCATGTTTTCAAGGTTCACCCATGTTGTAGCTTGTATCAATACTTCATTCCTTTTTATTGCCAAATAATATTCCACTGTATGAATATACCATATTTTGTTTATCCATTCATCAATTTATAGACATTTGGGTTGTTTCTATTCTTGCATATTATGAATAATGCTGCAATGAATGTTCCTATAAAAGTTTTTGTATGGATATATGTGTTCAATTCTCTTGAGCATATGCTTAAGAGTGAATATGAAAGTTATTTGAAAATTAAATGCCACTGTAAAAACAAATGAGGAAGCTCTATCTGTACTGACAAGAAAAGATCCCTCAAGCAAAAATACAAGATACAGATAGCCTGGAATACTACCATTTTTTTTTTTAAAGGGTGGGGAGAAAAAGGACTATGTATTTGTATTTGCTTGTATATGCAAAGAAAAGCATCTAAACAAATACTGAAGAAATTAGTAACCATTAATCATCATCTTCTATTTGGGAGAATGAGAACTAGACAAATGGAATCAAAGGCAAGAAGGAGGCCTTGACTGTATGACAGTT